TTTGCTAAAATGGCTCATAGAACTCAGTCAGGGAAGCACTTAATTTACCTTCACCAGCTTATTATAAAGCATATGATAAAGAATACAGATGGACAGCCAGATGAAGAGGCACCTAGGGTGGGGTCTGGAAGAAGTCGGAGCACAGGAGCTTCTGTCCCCATGGAGTGGAGATGGGCCACCCTCCCATCACCAAGGTAGAGGCTCTCTGAACCCTGTACCAAGGGGGTTTGTGGAGGCCTCACCACATCACGTGATCTATTATTAACTTAATTTCCACTCCCTCTTCCTTTCCTGGACTATTAGGTTGTGTGTGAACGTCTAGAGCGTTCGGGTCCCTGGGTAAGGGTCGCGAGATAACCAGGACACAGGGGATGCAGAGAGCCAAGGCAGCAATTGCAACTGCATGCTGAAGTTTATTTGCAAGTTCCTTTTATACACTTCTTCTAACAAAGCAAGCAATTCTTCAATAACACTTTACCCACATTGTCCAGATATCATGCCTCAGTGGATACACAGAGCTAGATTCAGATTGTTCCTGTTTGTTTGATAAGTACCCTCCTAAAGTTCTTTGAGACATTATCTACTCCTCTGAGGATGCATTTGTTTCTTCAGAATGTACTGTTCCCAGGATAAGTATGCAGGAAGCTTCTTCCTCTTGGCCAAACCATGCAGAACTTGTGCCTTGCGATAAGGGGAAGAGAACGTTTCCTCCTCCTAGCTGAGGTTTGCCTCAGCTGACCTAAATCACAGCCACAGCTCTTGCAAAAAGTCAGGCCTGAGGGAGCTAAACTCTGCACACTTAAACCCCAACAGTTGTGTATGCTTGGGAAGGTAGAACTGAAAATTTTAGACTTCGATTCATGACTTGGTCTCTCAAGGCTTCTAACTAGATCCTTTCCAGATACCATCCAAGAACCCATCAAGAGCCACCTTCCTAGAACAAAAGGTGGTCCTAGTGTCTAGGAAATTTCAAAAGATTTAAGAGTTTGGTGTTGTGAGCTGTAGTTAAAGAATAAATATTAGAATAAAAGATATTCCTAGCTCCCGTATCATTCAGGAAATTATGAGTTTCATAAGCTGTGTATCAGAAACCAAAGTATATTTATCATGTCACAAAAACACAAGGTCAAACCATGTTTAAGAACTATAAAAATAGATTCAACTTTTTGGGAGAAGCTGCAAAATTACACTGTAAGCCTATGGATACGGGGAGGGAAATAACTTATGGCCATTTTTGCCACTTACCACAAGTCTTAAAAAGTCAAATATAGCTTGAACACATTAGTTAACAGAATCTAGATGTACCCCTACCATGATCTGTATTAACATTGAACGTGTTAGAAAGTTTAAATTCAAGATGGCAATGTTTTGCCATGACAGAGGATTTAAATCCATCGTCACATCATCCAAAGCCATCACTCTGTGCTAACACTTTAGATATAGAATAAATATATCTCAAACTCAGTAATAAAAAGGGGGGCATGGGCTAGATAAGTTCTCGATGTTACGGTAACAGAGAGATTAACACTTTATGTGATGAATAAGACGTAGAATATGGAGATCAGCCACACAGGGAGTTTAGGAGGTACTATGTCACTATGGCTATAATTTGAGGTTAGTCAGCTTTTTATGGCTGTGATACTTGCACAAAACAACTTAGAGGAGGAAAGATTTATTTTGGCTCCTGGTTAATGGGTGTCAGCCCATGATGCATTGCTGTGGGACTCTGAGGTGAGGCAGAGCATCATGATCAAAGGGCACAGCAGAAATATGCTTTCAGCTCGCAGCAGCCAGAAAGCAAAGAGAGAGCGGGGAAGGGCCAGAAAGACGACAAACCCTTCTAGGGCCCACCCCCAGTGAGTTTTTCTCTCAACTAGTTTCCACCTGCCAGGAGTCCATTCAACCATCAATAAATGAATCCACTGAGGAGCCCAAAGCCCTTATGATCCAGTCGCTACCCAAAAGCCCCCCTTGGAGCACATGAGACATTCCAGATCCAAGCCACAAGAAGTGTCTTCCACAGGTCCAGGTTTGGAGGACTGGGGATATAGCTCAGCACTTGCTCAGCATGGGAGAGGCTCTGGATTCGATCTGCAGTATCAATCAATCAATCAGTCACAAAGGTATATATATGGGCTTGGTCTCCAGGGTGGAGATATTGGCAAGTGCTGTACTGGGAGGCAGGTATCTCCCAAAGTGGGAGGTCCTTAGGTCACTAAGGGAGTACCCTTGGAAGACAGTTTTCATGGGACACATTGGTAGTTCTCATGAGAGGACTGATATAAAAGCCCAAGTTTGGCTCTGCCCTTCCTCTCTCAGTTCCGGGCTTAAGGTGTAACCTTTCGTTCTGACACAACTGTCCCTGCTGTTGTCCTCTGCCGCCCTGACCACAAGCAAGCCAGTGAGGTGCTGTGCCTTTGAACCTCTAAAACTGTGAGATAAACAAATCTTTCCTTTACAAGTTAGTTGCCTCATGTATTTCTTTGTAGTACAGGTGGCTTACTTGCAGCACGGTGAATTAAAAGGAAATAAATTGTTTATGTCATCCACTGAGCAATCTTCTTACCAAAGACCAAATAGTTGGACTTTTAGCGGACAGTGCCTCCCCTTTCAGCACGCTGACTACTTCTGAGATAAGCATTTGCAATTACCCCAAATTATGCTCCTCTTCATTGAAATCAGTTTCCAGAAATAAAAGGAAAGGATTGAACTACATATCCCAAATTGTGGAATCGAAAAATGAGTTCAGAAAGGAAAGATCTGAAAATAAACCAGTATGGTTGAATTTACTTTTTTTTTTCAATTAATATTGATAGTGAGCCTGAAGAGTCACAAATAGAAATAATTGAGGAGTAAGGCAACACTGAGAAACAATATAGCAATGGAGGACTGCCAGGATTCTACAAAGAAGAAGTCCTCCTAAATATAAAAACGATTGTGCACAGTTCCTTCCCATGGTCAGAAGTGCCGACATTTGCAAATAATTGTTTGCCTTTATAAAACAATAAAACTAAATATGGCAACCGTTTAAAGAACACAAAGCTGAATCCTACGTTGCATATACAATATGAAATGTAAGTTCTCACACTAATTTCTTGGTGCAGAAGAAGCGATGTCAGGTTTCCAGTTCCTGACTGAAAAATAATGACTACCGAAGGAAAAACTTTATGTCTGCATGACAATTTGGACTTTTCAAGTTTGGATTGAAAATATAGTCTCTAATACATTCTTATATTGTTACAAGCATATCCAATAGTTCAGTAAAAAATAATTGAATTTCATTGCATTCTGGAAGTTGATTATTCTAACATGTCATTCCCTTCTCTCTACATTGCTGATCCGGCTCCCACAGGCTTTGAATTTGCAAAGCCTATTTGAAATAGACTAAATCAGATTAAAACAAATGCCAGGGGCACCAATCTATGAAAAGCAATCAAACCAAAATAAATCAGTAAAATGTGAACTCACTCCACTCCCATAAAGTAAAGAGGACCCTCCAGTGTAATTTTTTAAAATAGGCCTTTCTAAAATGGGCTTTTTGTTAAATATTTTTTGTGGTGTGCAGTTCAAGCTAAAAATGGGTTGTCACAGACAGCATTCAGAAGTCATTTAATGCACAGTTTAATGTTGTGTCCTGGTGAATTGGTGATTTTACTTTAGTCTCTAAAATTTTAAGTTCTTTTATATTCAGTTTTCCAATAAATTACCTGATTTGGTAAATCATAAAATCTAATGAAGGTTATAGTTTTAAATGTTTTATTTTGGTGATCCTTTTTCAAAACTTATCTTTTAGCCAACGGAAGTGAAGTAGTAAGAAAGTCAGTTGCCCCATTAAATGAAGTTCATGGAAAATCAGTATCACCTCTTTGATTTCCTGTAAGTGTTATGTGCCTCCCTAACTTTTGAAAGGGGCCAGGGCAAGAGTAAAAATGTATGTGTATACGTATGTGTGTGACAGTATATATGGCTATAATTTCATAGTTCTATTAGAAAAATACAGAGTGTTCCTCATTTGCTTCTAGGTCCATTATCCTTCCTTACAAGAAGGCCAAGGGTCATTTATTTGGAGACATGTAGGATGATGGTAATGGTGATGATGACTGCCTTCCTCCTTCACCCATGCTAACTCCCAGTTCGAGAATGACATGCCTTCAAGTTGAATGCCACTTCCACTAGGAAGGCTCTCCTGATTCCCCATCCCAAGTCAATTTCCCTCCCATCAGAGCACTTTCACTCTGTGTCTCATTCCCTATTGACAGTCTGTCTCCCCCACTAGAATAAAAAGCTTGTTGAGTCCAGATTTCTACTATGCTCCCGGCACCTGGCACTATAGCTAGAATACACTTAAATAAACAACGTATCGGTCAAGATATTCCTGTAGCAAATCTCAGATTCTAGGACCTTAAGTGGAAATTGACAGTCTCGTTATCTAAGAAGAGCAAGATGGGGGTGAATTTCCTTTTCAGTTCATCTCTTACTCAGATCACAGGTTGTGGCTTCCCCTGGGAGAGATGAGTCAGGATATTTTCATATATGTTAGAGGTCTGAGTTGTCTTGTGACTAAGAAATTCATTATGTGTCTAGACAGCCAGCTGAAGGGGGTGGGGCAGCAGAGGCAGTAAGGGTCAGGGGAGTGCATTTCTGATCAAATGGAATGTTCTCCATGTTTCAGGTACATCCTTGGATTATGTGAACCTCAGGAGGACTTTGGTCTTGCCTGGTTTCTGGTATCAGAGAGGATCCACCTGTGATCTATCTCCTGGAAAGACAGAGCCAAAAAGTTTTGGAAATGTGACAGCTGCAGCTGGAGAAACGCCCCCTACCAGGATGTGAGTGACAGCAAACTCCTCACACCAAGATGTCGGAGCAAAGCTTCAATCCTCCTGTCAAATACTGACTTTCACTTTCTGGGTTCTCTTGCACTGGGCAACATGGTATTTTAAGAAAGATCGCTCCACTTCTGGTTTTCACTTCATTATGCAACTAGCTCTACTCAGAGAACCACTCCTGAACTCGCTTCTGTGAGCGCACAGTGTGGATACACGCTGAACTCCTGAACTCGCTTCTGGGAGCGCACAGTGTGGATACACGCTGCTTTGACAGTCTGGGCTGACCTGGCGTGTCTCCTGAGATCTGCTCCCTCCTCGTCCAGCTGCTGGGGCAGGACTCCATGCTGCTGTGGGTGTCCCTGCTGGTCCTCGGTGAGTAATGAACAGGAGCCTGGCCTGAGCCTCCTCCCAAGCAAAGGGCCCCCTCTCCTGGCTAGTGAAAACTGCAGAAAATGAACAAAAAGGAAGGTATTGATTTAATGCTATGAGGGAAATAAACAGAAATTGATATCCAGAGATGTGATCTTCATCCACTTTGGCTTTTAGTTGCCTGTGGGAAATTCCTCCCCATTTTTGTTTTCAAATGAAAACAAACAAACAAACAAACAAAATATCTAGATTTGGTTACCCCCCACCCCCCGCCGCCCCATGCAGCTCATGAAAACTCAGAGAAAAATACAATCTGAGATTCTAAGGACCATATATATCCTAATTGTGAGCTGAGGCAATTGATGCTTTGCTGAGAATAGCTATTTCCTTCTCTGTATCCTGCAATCAAACCATGAGAAGAGAAAAAAAAATAAAATGGTTTCCCTTGGACTGCCCTGACCCCTGCCCCTGCTTCTGTGTTATTTGACAATATTTGTCCACATGAGACACTGAATTCCTAGTAATTCACACTAGGGAATTTAAAAAGTCAGTCTTGTGTATTTGTTAAGTGTGTTTGTCTTGCTCCAACTTGGATCCCCCGACTCTAACTTGGGGAAGATTTATTATTAGTGTGATATGCACCTCATGGGATCAGCAAATAAAGAAATGATGGGTGGCGTCAGCACAGCACAGAGTGGAGCACCTCAGAGAGTAGAGAGGCCTGGAGATCACAGCCTCTGCCCTCAAGAACTGACACTGATTAGAACATAAAAGTTCCAATGCAAGAACCTTTGACCTGCCAATATCAGAGAAATATTACATACTGGGTCACGGGATGATGGGTGATGATGACAATTGCTTCTTGCTAACCCCTATGTCTCAGACACCCTTCTAGGAATACCCCCATGTTATTAATTTATCCAATTCTTTAACGATCCATAGCTTGGAACTATTATAACTCACATTTACAAATGAGGAAACTAAGGCACAGAAACTGTGGTCTCAATACTAAGATTCATGAAGCTAGAATTAGTGGTGGTGTCAGGATTCAAACCCATCATCTGACTTCGGAGACTATGCATTTAACCGTCACCCCATACTGTATGTTCAGTTCTGAGCTTCAATAAGCCTATTGATTGTCAGCGTCCTGAGTCAAGAGAATAGAGAGCTTGCTTCAGCCTCGAGACACCTGATAAGGCTTCATGGAGGAGGGAAGGTTTCCTTTGGACCCTAATGCGTGGATGCGACTTGACTTAACTTGGTACTGAAGGAGAAGAATACTCCAGGAGTCAAGATCAGCAGTAGGCCCATACTTTAAAAAAAAAAAAATTGACAGCAACCATTAATTGAGGACTTACTAATTCAATTCATTATAATAACACCACGAAGTCACTTTTATGGTCCTCATTTTTCAAAAGAGGAAACTGAGATTTGGAAGTTTATGTGGTTTGCCCAGGGTTTACATGGCTAAAATGGAAACCAGGTTGTCTGAGTCCATAACGTGAGCTTTTGGCCACCATGTTACGTGGAACTGCACGTGTTTCTCTTCCTCTTGTTTTGTAATAGAATGTGGCATGCAGGTCCTCAGGGAGACATGGTTGGGAACACCCTGCCTGTGTTGATACCTGGCTTTTTACTCTCTTGCAGCTCCAGTCCATGGACAATTTGGTAAGTCCCCGATTTCTTTTCTCTTTCCTATCTCCAGATATTCTAATAACTAGCCTCTAACTCTTGTAGAAGACCACATTGTCTCCTTCCTTTCTTCTCTGAGCACTGCAGGGACATAAAAATACTAGTTGTTCTGGTGATTCTGAGGCTAAGCATTAGACTATTTGGAAGTACCTTTCTCAAACCAAACCTGCCACCTGTTGGATGAATATGGAGGGCTGGGACACGTGTCACCGGAGTTCACAGGAGGAGGAGGCATCACCTCACCTGATGTGGGATTCTGGCCAGGGCTGATGTTGGAATGCATAGAATTTTGAGAGGGAAAGATTTTTAAAAGCCATTATTACAAAGTGGGAGGCTGGAGCTCCAACTCTGTCCCTACCCATGTGTGACCAACTTTCTGTAGACACATTTTTCTAGTAATAGCTCAAATCATGATAACTCTGAGCTCCCATCCATCTGCTATTCAGCAGAAAGCCAAGACTGTCTGTCTTTCTTTCCTTTCTCTCTCTCTCTTTTCTTTCTTTTATGCTGGGGATTGAATCCAGAGGTTTATGAATGCTAGACAAATGCTGTACCACTGAACTACAATTTAGTCCTTTATATATATTTTTTTTTTCTTTTCTTTTTTTTTTTTTTGAGACAGGGTCTAAGTTGCTGAGGCTGGCTTTGAACTGGCAATCCTCCTGCCTCAGCCTCCTAAGTCACTGGGGTTACAGGTGTGCACCACCGCACCCTGATAGAAAATCCAGTTTTTATGGGGAACTGTCTCACAATTGTTTGGCAACCACCGTGGGATTCCTTCAAGTGTTCCAAGCACATCCTGGGAATCGCTGGTGGTTGTCCTGCTTGAGCCAGCAGGAGCCACAGCCCCCCAGGTATACACTGTCTCTGTCGCTCTCCCTCACGATGTCATGGACACAAACCATTTCCCTGTCAAAGTGAGACAGGATTATAACTCAGCAAGACCTTGCTAATGGATCTAGGATGAGGAAATAAACCAGAGGGTCTTACGTCAGCCCCGAGTGTGGTTAATCTCAGGACCCAGTGCCAAACCTCACAAAGGCCCTGACGAGGGATCTCCTCCTGGTCACCGGGCCACGGCACACCAGACCGGCAGTTTACCTCAACCAAAGAAGAATCTATTTGAACCCATCAAAGGAGGGAAGGTCATCCTTCCTTCCAGGAAAGGACCTGCTGCCCAAGTCCCCATTCCCTTGCCCCAAGCTTCCTAGGAACATGACCAGTGTCCCATAGAAATAGAACATTTCTATTCCCTTCAGGAGAAACACAACACATTCCCATTGAGCACACAGGGCACTCTGTCCAAATATTTAAGAGAAAACATTTTATCATTTTTTTATCAGTGCATCATAGTGGAATTCATTATGGCGCATTTGTATGTATTTTACATAATTTGATCAACTTCAATGCGTGGTACCTTACCTTTAGAGAATTTTTTCTTTTTTGCACCAGGGCATGAACCTTGGGGAACTTAACCACTGAGCTACAATCCCAGCCCTTTTATTTTATTTTATGATTTTGAAATAGGGCCTCACTGAGTTGCTTAGGGCCTCACTAAGTTGCTGAGGCTGGTTTTGAACTCTATCTCTTCCTGCCTCAGCCTCCTGGGATTACAGGAGTGTGCCACTATGTCTGGCTTAGAAATATTTTTTTTCAAAGTCTGCAAAAACTCTCAAATGTTTCACATTACCAAACAGAAACATTTAGCCTCTTCATCTAAAACATGCATTCAAGTGACCTTACAGGTTATTTCCCCCCTAAACAGAAGAAAGTCCTTTTCGTTACATTTGGATATCATTAAAAGACTTATTTGGGATGTTCTTCTAGGAAAAAAAAAGTTAATAATACTTAATATCTCAAGCTTTAAAAAAGCAATTGCTTATAAGCCCTTAACTCTAGACACTTCCCCCTTATCTGAGCATGAAAAGGTAACAAGACGAAAATCCATGTAAAGCGATTCCACTGCAAATTGAACAGTAATTAACGGCACCCCAAAATTGAGATTTTTTTATTTTTATTTTTGAAAAACAAAATAATCCAACTATAATTTGTTTTATTTTCTACTTCACAGAAGTTAGACTATGACAGGTCCTATGTAGAGTGAAGCATGGACCTAGTATTGGGTTTTCAAATGTGGCATTGTGGCTGTGTTGGAGACAGGAAGGGGTGAGAGGCAGCAGAGGGACTGAAGCTGTCAGAGGATTCCCACGTGCCTCCCTTCCTTCAGCATAAAGGCAGACTTTCCCCGGAACCCACAGTCCCTGGTGTCCCTTAGTTTTATTCCTCTGACAGCTTTCCCCCCAGACCTGGATGGAGTAGCGAGGAAAGCTAGCTGCTTCACTTTTCCAAGCCCACGGGTGGGCAGCAGTCTAGAGGGGGCATCGGGACCCACCCCCAGGAAGCAGACCACTGCTTTCCTTGTGATGCATTTCTCCTTTTTCATTGTTAACAGATCTGCTTTTCACCTCTGTGTTGCCAGCCATCAGAACAAGCGGTTCCACATAACTTTTCCAACTTCATGAAATACTGCATCTTAGGCACAATCTGCAATAGCGATCCATTTTCACTTTCTACCCATTGAAAGATTGGCTTACCAAGCCACTCAGCTTTAAGCAAGCCAGAGAATAGCATTACATCTGGAAGGATGTTTCTATTAATGGATAATTTTGTTGTTAGCTTCACCACCTCAAAACTACAGGACTCAGAAAATAAACATTCAGGTTCAAAAAAAAAAACAGGAAGCCTCAATAATAATTTCTTGTCAGGGAATTAGCATTAAAAATAAAATCTCCTCCCAACCAAGAAATCTTCTCTATAAGTGGTAATAGATAAAGGAAAACACTTTATTATTGAATAAGTGTTAAGCCAGAATGGAATGCACCTCATAGGAAAACCACTAAAAGAGCAAAGACAGAAAGGAATTATCTGTTTAGTCAAGCAGATAATCCAAACATATGTGTTTTCAACATAAATAATAATTGGTCTTCCAATAAAATAACCTGACACGTAGTTTATCTTAACTATGATAAATGGGAGGACCACCTGTGTTAGTGGATTGCTTTTTATCATAGGAGAAACAAACTTCTCACATTTTTATAACAACAGGTAGTTTTGCATGTTGGAGTCGGGGGAGCCCAGCAAAGTTAGACTCAGCCTCCTACAGAAACCAGGAGACAGAGGATCATCTTTCCATATGCCCATCTTCCCCAAACCAAAAAGATAGCATGTCAAGTCCATGACCCCGTTGTGTCAGGGCAGCAGGGCAGGTTGTGAAAAGGCCAAAGAAGATGTCCAGAGATGGCATGTGAGACTTATGATCAGTGACAGTTCAGGAGGCTGAGGCAGCAGCCTTGCAAGTTTGAGGCCGGCCTCCGTAAGTAGTGAGATCCCATCTCAAAGTAAAAAATAAAAAGGGCTGTGGATTAATTCAGTGGTAAAGCACCCTGGGTTTAATTGCCAGTACCAGGGGTTGGGGGGCAGGGATAAGTGACTGCTCCAAGAAGAGTTCAGTGGTGATAGGCTGAACAGGCAGCCCCTCCCTCAAGCAAGCGCCTCCTTCATCCCTCCCTCTTGCTGTTTTGTCCAGTGGTGCCTGGCTCGGGAGTGATCTGTATTCTTTCCACGGGGCTCTCGGTTCCACAACTGTCCCTACTCAGAGGGAGGTTTTATACATCAGGTTGCAGCAGCAGTGACATCAGCGGCTTTAGTTTGCCTGTATGAGCAGCATATCAAGGAGCAACTTTCCCAGCATATACGGAAGAAAGGAGCTTTTGACAGATGGCACTAAATTTCCCTGGTTTCCAGTGTGCTTAAGAGAAAGCCAGGTCCTCTAAGATCGTAGGTATCTGCACTTTGCAGCCCAAGGGTGTTAGTGCTCCCTTGACTTGGCTGAGCTTTTGGAAAAAGAAGGGGGCATCTGGGGATGATGTTTTACTGTCCCCCACCTTTTTTTTTAAGGATAACACATGGCACCCAGGACTTTCCTGGGTTTGGAGACTGGCCAGACTCTTGTTTAGCCATTATAAAATTTATAAACTTTTAAAAGGGACAGAAAAAGAAATTCTGAAAGAAAACAGAAATCTCTTCCCTTATTTTCCACAGGGAGCTAATGCTAATGCTTTTTTTTTTTTTTAACTTGTTTTTGCCCTGGATTCTCCAGCTCTGTCCACCCATGTTTCAAAGATCTCAGGGTCCAGTTTCATGCAAGGTCAATATTTTCTCGCCCTGAGAGTGTCTTTGAGGTTTAGAGTGTTGGGAGCACCTGTCTCCCTGCAGTCTTACCCTTTGTAGCTGCCTAGACATACTTCACACCTCAGACAGCAGCCTGCTCCCCTCTCCCACACCTGCTTCTCATTGATATTATTACTTGAGTCCTAGGCCAGAGGCCTGACTCGGGAGACCCCCAAAATGAGGTCCAACCACTCACCCTAAAAACAAATAGAAAAGGAAATGATAGAAAGCATGAAAGGAATTTTAATCAGTGTAGCTGTGCTGGGAAGAGAAGTGGTCCATCCCTTTAGCCCCATCTTCAAGAGACTGACAATGACTTTGAGGTTTTTTTTAAGAAGAGAATGAGAGGCTGGGGCTGTAGCTCAGTGGCAGAGCATTTACCTAGTACCTGTGAGGCACTGGGTTTGATCCTCAGCACCACATAAAGTAAAGGCACCTAGTTAGAAGAAGAAGAAGAAGAAGGAGGAGGAGGAGGAGAAGAAAGAAGAGAACAAAGGCACGGGTGGGGGTTTGCATAACTAGAAAGTTTGCAAAGATACCAAAGCAGGTGATCCTGATCAGGAGAGGTCTGTCTCCATATTATCTCATTATTTCAAGATTGGTCAGGTCTGACCATGTCAGGTTTAAAAAAAAAAATTACTGTTGCCTGGCAGGTAGTTTCAACTCATCACAAGATATTTACTGGATCAGATCCCATTCCTGGAATCAAAGGTGACTTGGAGCAAAGGGAATAGATGTAAAATGGAGGTGGGAATGCCAAGTCTTTAATTTTGCTCTTAGCCACCCATCAAACATTTGCAGGCAGAAGTGAAGAGTTAAGTCCTTGTTAGAATATGAGTAAAAATACGATTTGGACTTTTTAAATACCAGCATAATTAATCTCCAAATTTCTGTATTTCTTTCATCTTTAAGTCCAGTCCCAATATAGGCTCATGCCACATGTAAGGGAGGGAAAAACAATGATTTTTGCTTCATCTCATCTTAGGCTCACTAGCTGGGGCTGATGAATCAAACTGGTAAAAGATTAACAGGAGAAAAAGTAAGCTTTAATTACACATGTACACGTGGGAGATCACAAAGTCAAATGTGGCTCAAGGAGGCAGGCAGATAATAGGTTTACATATCATCTTAGCCTAAACAACGTTGAGGGGTTTGGGGATTCTGGAGAGGGAGAAGCAGGATATGGGGCGGTGACAAGAAAAGCCTGGTAACAAAGGTTGTTTAGTATGATTTGTTGTGCAGATCTAAGCCAATATCTTCTCTACTGAGAAGGTCCGACAGAAGGAGATGCCTTTATCAAAGCAAATTTTCTTTAGGAAAAGAAAATATATGCCCTATTTTTAGAGTTTTCCTTTTTTTCTGGTAGTTCCCAATGGTCTTTTGGTTCAAAATAATTCATATACGAAAGAAACATATTTGGGGATGGCATGTGCTGGTACCCTTCACACACACACACACACACACACACACACACACACACTCATCTTAGAGAGGAACTGTAACATGCAGTTCCCTGGAGGAAGGAATACATTCGGGAGAAATGCAATGCTCAGTTATGTCCCTGAGGATCTGCTTCACCTGAGAAGGTAAGAGGATTTGTAAACCTCCCATCATTGATCAATCATGAATGGATCCCGCTGGGGTTGCCCTCTGAAAGGTCAGTCTGCTCCTGGAAACCCCGGAGCAGCCACGGCACCTGGCACTAAGGTGAGCCTAACTGGAGAAACTGCAATTTGGGGAAGCAGAAGCCCTCCTCAGGACCCAGGGGATTCTTCAAATCCAGGTCCTCCTGTCGTCCCCACAGGAACCTCCGTGGCAGGTATTGCAGGGACCACCACCTCAGACTCATTTCTCTTCTTCTCAGCAGCTGCACCTAGACCTGTGATTTCCCTCCATCCTCCATGGACCACAGTTTTTCAAGGAGAGACAGTGAATCTGACTTGCAGTAGATTTCATTTCCATGCACCAGAGAAAACAGAATGGTATGGGAAATATGGATACATAACAGGAAGAGAAACCCCAGGAGATACCCTGCAAGTCCGTGATTCGGGAACTTACAGATGCAAGGTCCAGGGCTCACTTCTAAGTAACCCTGTATCCTTGACCTTTTCTACAGGTGAGAGAGAAGGTGAATTGGTTAAGATTGTAGCTCTCTGCAGTTTTTAAGCTCTGGGGTCCTTCCTTCCTCTCTCTCCCTCAGCCTCAGCTGCTTTCAGTTTTATACTCTTCCTCGTTGTCTGCAAATGTTTTTCACTTAAATTCGAGTTGAAATGCTTAATATTAATCAGCATACATTCTCACACATTTACATAGTCCAGGAAATTCGTTTGTTTTAGTCACTAGAAAGAGGAAGCTGTCTGAGATGCTACACTGTGGAACTTCACAGCCTCACAGGGGAGAAATCACACACACGAACATGCTGAGCATGAAGGAGAAAGTCAGAAATTTCAAACCTCTGGCCTTTCATCCCTGCCTGTCCTGGTATCTGTCCCTTCTTCCTTTCTATTTTTCATCTCCAATTTGCAAAATGCCCACTTAGACATAATGTTCTGGATCCCCTTCACAGATGTGGCTCTCTAGGAGGAGGTATTCAGGATCTAAGACGGAATTGATACAGCTAACCTCAAGTCACAGCCTGCACAGCAGGAAAATTTCCAGAGAGGACCACATTCACATTCAATTGAACCTAAATTTTTGTCTCTGAAAATAATTCTTCTCTCTAGCATCCCCCAATGCACTGCCATGATTCCTTGCATATTTCTCCAAAGGCTTCCTCTTTGATAGCACCTGCTCAGAGATTCAGTGAGCAGACTGGTGTTGATTTTTGCTCTATTATATGATGTCAGAGATTTTGATCACACCTTCTTTGGCTTTTCTTCTCCATATTAAAGTCCTTACATTTTGAATCTGTCCTTAAATGATTGAATACATGTGTGTTAGAATGTGTTTAGGAGTTGTATCTGAAGAATGACTCACTGAGTTGGGAGGAAATGAATAGACTTTGGTCAGGAGATTAACTTCTGATGGGGGCAGAAAGAAAACAATAAAGCCTTTGTAATTGAAGGGACATGGAGAAAGGAGGTAGTGTCCTGAATGACGGTATCTTATCTCTGTGTTGTTTTCAGGCTCCTTAATCCTACAGGCTCCTTATTCTGTGTTTGAAGGAGACATACTGGTTCTGAGATGCCAGCAAAGGGGAAAAGAGAAACTGACCTCCGTGAAATACACTTGGAATGGAAAAGTCCTTCTCGTTTCTAACAAAAGCTTGGATCTTTTTATCCCAAGAGCAGGTTTAAATAACAGTGGCTTTTATCAATGCATTGGATTTAGGAACCAAAAATTGGCAGATAAGTCAGCTACCGAATATATTGGAATTAAAGGTAAATCCTTCATTTCATATAGATTCATTTAGTAATGTCAGGGTGGAGAAACTGGGCCCGTCAGGAGGGATTTATAGGTGAATATTGGAACCCTGAACACTGGAGACTTATGAGTCCCTCCAGGAGGCAGAGAAAGTGGAGTGATTGGACTTGAATTGTCCTAGGAAAGAAAAACACAATCGAGAGCTTGATATATTTAATCTTGTATGCCTGAAGTTTCCGGGGACAGAGAATCCAAGCCTGTTCCTCCCAGAGTGCTAAATACCCTCATGCTCAGAACTTGATCTTCCTTTTCTCTCCAGAATTATTTCCACGTCCGAACCTGAAAGTCACAGCCCTTCAGCCTACAGAAGGGAACTCCGTAAACCTGAGCTGTGAAACGCATCTTCCTCCAGAGAGACTGGACACCCCTCTTCACTTCATCTTCTTCAGAGATGACAGAATCGTCCTGTCAAGTTGGAGCAACTTCTCAGGGCTCCAGATCCCCACCATCTGGAGAGAAGACTCGGGACGGTATAGATGTGGGGCTGCAACTGTGACAAGCAGCATCCAGAAGCTCAGCTCCTCCTGGGAGATCCTCGTACAGAGTAAGTAGGCAGAGCCAGGGGGCTGGGTGGGACTGAGGCATCATCTTTCCCAGGTCTCTGGGCTCCTTCTGGCCCGCGGGTATAGGGACTATCCAAAAGAGATTTGTTTTGTCATTCTGATAGGGGCACCAGGCTTAAACTCAGAAGTGAGGAACTATATAATAAAAGAAATAGGGGATTTCATTTCTACCTTCATTTCCCAAAAAACTTAGTCTTCCTTTCAAACTCTTTTATGTTGGAGTGATAGAGCTGATGCCTGGAGTTAGATTCAAGAACTGGGGTTAAAAAACAAGAAAACGAGGTTCCCTGTTGTTGAGTTGGCAGATCCAGCATGCCAGAACCCAGGGCAAACTATTTAGAAGACAAATACCCACTTCTTCCCAATCAATAGCAAAAACAATATACTGTCTGTGAGGTGTGCCGCAGAGGTGAGGGAGACATATAAAGGTAAATACACTAAATACCATCTTGTCTATGTTTACAGGTGATTGGAATTGGACTTATATTTCATTGGAAGAGTTAGTAAAGCCAGAATGAAAAAACGGCTAGGTTTTTTGTTGTTGTTGTTGTTGTTATAGTTGTTCTTTTGTTTGTTTCTAAGGCAGTGTCTTGCTAAGTTTCCCAGTCTGGCCTAGAACTTGCAACCCTCCTGCATCAGCCTCCTAAGTTTCTGGGATTACAGGCATGCACCACTGTACCCAGAAATGAGAGGGCCAGTTTCATTAAACATGGCCTTCTCAAAGAAATTTTCTTCTTAAGGGACCAAAAACTTGTATGTCCCTTACGTGGTGGCCGATTTTTTTCCCCTGATATTAAATAAAAATTGTCAATCAGCCCAAAAAGAAAAATATCATCTTGTCTTAGGTACCAACGTAGGGCTTCAGGAATCAGGTGTGGTCCAGCTTAGTCCCATAACAACCACTATTTCTATTACCTATCTCTCGAAACAATTCAGACCATCAGCTAGGTCAGACAGAGCTCAAATGCTTCTCGAGGAATGGTCGATTTTTCTCTCGTGGGGCTTTGTGTGTTAGGCCGGAAAGGTTAGCACATTTAGTGATGTCCTCGATTCAAAATCCATAGTCCATTGATCACAGCACTAGTATCCTCTAAGGAGGACACCTAAAGTCACGTGAAAAGTGACTCTGTCTGAAACCAGTCCTGCCTTCCCCACACCGGGCCCTCAGCTTCTGCTCCTGTTCCCGCAGGGGTCCCTGTGTCTCAGGTCTCCTTGGAGACCCAGCCCCCAGGAGGCCAGGCAATCGAGGGGGAGATGCTGGTCCTTGTCTGCTCCGTGGCTGAAGGCACAGGGGTCACCACATTCTCCTGGCACAGAGAGAACACGACGGAGAGTCTGGGGAGGAAGACTCAGCGTTCCCAGAGAGCAGAGCTGGAGATCCCAGTCGTCCGGGGGAGCCACGGCGGGGGATTCTACTGCACAGCCGACAACAGCTACGGCCCGGTGCAGAGCCAGGTGGTGAACGTCACTGTGAGGGGTGAGTCTTCATCACCACTGACCCTCTTTATTCTGCGCGTATTTCCTCAAACTAGGAGTGGGCCTACCCAACATTAACTTTCTGACTCATCTTTACCCGACTTATTTTTCCATCCTCCCCATGACAGACAATCTCTTTCCATCAGAATGTTAACAAACCAGTCCGGTCAGTGGAAAGTAATACGGTGAGGTAAAGCTGGCCGGAAGCCATCTTTGCCTCTTGGAGCTGATTTTGTGTGTCTGTTCTCTGATCCTCTGTGCGCTGATCTCAAAGAGTAGCCTTACCTCATTAGCAGCGTTGTAGCTCTGTCACCTAAGTGTCACCTATACCTCTCCTTTCAGTAAATGATTCATTGCACATCCGATCCGTGTCCTCGAGGTGGACAGAACCAAAGGCATAAGGCAGCCCTCTGCTTCGTACTGCAGGCCTGAGGGATTCCCAGCTTCACAGTTACATGCAGGAAACGCCTAAGTACGGTGAGCAGATCCAGAGCCCAGCTTTGTCCCCTAGGCAGACAAGCCTGGCTTTGGGATCCTCCAGGTCTAGTTCATGCCCTCTTGTGTGCCCAAGAAGCCACAATGGGCCAAGCCATGTTCTCAGTCAACACTCGGCACTGAGGATGTGGTTTCTCCTGGGCTTCAGCTCCTCTCCCACCCCGGGTTCAGTGCCTCCCTAGGCATTCACTAAATCGTCCATCCATCGAGAAGCTACTGGAAAACTAGATGTCCCTGCTTTCCTTTCCAGTAAAACTCCTCAAAAGGAGTTCTCTCTACTGGCTCTCCTCACTTCTTCCATTTCTCTCAAATCCTTCTCTCAGGCTTGGCTCACTCCACTGAGTTACTCTTGTAAAGGTCACCAATGACCTCCAATGACCTCCATAATGCTGAGGCCGGGCAATGCTCGGCTTCCATTTTACTTGATCTTCCTCCAGCTCTTGTCTCAAATGATCCCACCTTCTTGAAATACTGTCCTTAACTTCTGGGGCACAACTCTTGGCTTTTTATCGGACACTCCTTTTAGGTTTCTTTTCAGAGCCTCATCATATTTCCAACTTGTCCATTTTGGAGACTCCTCCTGGGGCTCTGTTCTCAGACACTCTGTGCCCAGACTCTCCATCATCTCACCCAGTCTCATGGCTTTAAATGCACTTATGACTTCCAGGTATTGAGGACTCCCAAACTCAGCCTGTAGCTAGACCTTCTAGCTAAAACAGTCTGACCCTCTGTTTCTTCCTCAGATTTTACAGGAACACCACCCCCCAGGCCTTGCGCAATGCTCTTCCTTGATATCCTCCGCTCGCTCCCTCATTTGTTCCAGGGCTCTGTTCTTCTCAAGGAGTCCTTCCCCCACCATCCTTTAGAACATGGAGCCCTTCACCGCAGCACTCCCTCCTCCAGTCCCTCTTGAGTCTCCCCCGACATGCTCATCACCAACTATCATGCGCTTCTTTGCTGTCCTCTCCCCTCCTCTTGCCTTAGCCTCAGGACAGCAGATCCATGTTCCGACCACTATAGTATCCCCGATGCCGGAAACAGTGCCGGCGTAACTCAGCCATTCCATAAATGCTTGCTGAATGAATGAATTTCTCATCCATCCTCTCTGTCGATTGTACTAAGAGTCCTAGAAAATAAAGACATGACCATCTGCATTCTACCGACAGGGAAGGTGGAGCTCAGAGAGGTCTTGTCGTGTGCATAGTCACAGGGTTTATACATGGCAGCCCAGATTTGAACCTCTGCTGTCAGAGAGACGACAGCAACATCAACGTTATCCTGAGGCCATGCTGTCAAGTTCCTACACTGTCAACCATGCTCCATAAGCAGTCAGCTCTGACAGTCAGAGCCATGAACCTGAACAGTTTAGACAGAGGCTGCGGGAAAGGGTGGCTATGCTAATGGCCCAGCTGCTGCTCAATTTTCTCTGCAACTCCCTTGAGGCAAGTCCTGAGATAAAGCAGGGGTCCTCCCACGTAGGGGACTGATGTCTTCCCAGAACAGAAGGAGCTGCATCTCCGTCTTAGAACAGCTTCGGGACGTGAAACACCGGGTGCAATTCCTGGCAGAAAAGGACTGAGATGGAGTAGGTGGCTTTTCAAGAATCAGCTTGGGAGAAGGGAAGAGAGGTTAGGAAAACAGAAAGCCACCAGATCACACTCGAAAGACTCCTAGGTACCCTGAAATCCAGAGTGGCTCTGAAGGCAGGAGGTGCCACTTCTTCTCCAGGAAGCCACCTGTCCTGAAAAGTTTGCCCAGGGAGCTGAGGTTATGATCCCTGTGGAGGGTTGAAGTCAATCTATTGGAGACTGACACTTGAGTGTAAAATTACTCTTCTTGCTTGGGGGGTTAAGGTAATGGGATGGATTAGGCTTCTCTGCTCCAGGGAGTGAGCTGGTCACTTCACACGTGTAATTTCATTTTCCTCTCTCAGCTTCCCTGCATATGTGGGCTTGGCTACTTTTTCATATACTAGGGAAACATCATCTCAGAGAGTTAGACAGACGGCAAGGATGCAGTTGATGTTCGATGGAGTGAGGTTTCCTTCTAACTTTGTGGACTTAATGCAAATATCTCTGTGCTCAGAAATGGGCAAATTTATAACAAGACATTAATTCTGCAGTAGGCTTAAGGTAGGCTGTCTGGGGGCAGCTCAGGTCACCATAATAAAATTCCATCCACTGAGGCTGGTGTTGTAGCTCAGTGTAGCTTTTCTACTGGCTGTGTGGTAAGTAGCCAACATGCATGAGGCCCTGGGTTCAGATCTTACTACTCAACATCTCGTCATAAGTGACTTAAACCACAGAAAGTTATTTTCTCACTGGTTTAGAGGCTGGAAGTTTGAAATGAGGGCATCGATAGGGTTGGGTTCTGGTGAGGATTCTATTGCTGATTTGCAGATGGCTGCCTTCTTGCTGTGTCCTCACGTGGCAAAGAAAGAGGGAGGGAGGGAGGGAGGGAGAGAGACAAGAGCAAGTTTTCTAATGCCTCTTCTTAGAAAGGTTTTAATTCATCATGAGGCTCCCCACCCACATGACTTCATTGAAGTTAACTACCTTCCAAAGGCCCATGTTCAAATATGACCACCTTGGGGTTAGAGCTTCAACCTATGAACTTTGAGGGGACATACTGCAAGGATTGAGGTTGGCTGCTGTGGTGCTACAGGGGAGCAAGCTTAACCTGTGGGGTTAAGAGCTAATACTGAGGTAGACATAGCACTTACATGGTAGGCACTGTTTGTTCAAATCACTCAACAATATTAACTCACTTAATCCGCCAACAACAGTAAATAGATGTTATGGTCCCCATTTTTCAAAGGAGAAAACAGAAGTCCAGAAAGATTAAATTATATTCCCTGGCCACACAGTTGGTAAATGGAAAAGCTGGAATCCTAACCCAATAATCTGGTTTTAGAATCCTGTGCCTTTCTAAGACAAATTTCAACTACATCCTCAAGAGTAGCCATTTCTTCTAGGAAACTGGGTTACCAGAAAGGAGGGATAATTTGCTTTCTACCCATTAAATCTGAAATCCCAGGCCTGGGTATGGTTGATTCTGGTTTTGCTCAAGAAGATGCCCTGGAAGGCAAATGAGGAAAGATTCTTTCTTCCACTCTCCAACCATCTTTAGCGGTCAGGATGAGGAGGCTGGGCTGGCTGCCCGCTGAACCCTGCTTGTAGACGGAACCACTCATGGGTCCAATGGCAGGTTTGTTAGATTTGTCAGGATGGAAAAATAGAGACAGAAATTTCCCTCACTGGCCGCCAGCCATTTATTTTGTTCCAAGAATCATAAATGAAATAATTGGAAATTACCATTAGCATTGCTATTGTTCTGACATCAGGGTGTCCTCTGTTTGAATCTGAGACACTTGTCATGTCTGAAGCTGACTTCCCCAGGGACCTAGAATCTGTGTGAAAAGCCCCGCCCACTCCTGTCCTTCCATCCTACATTAGTTCTGTGGCCTTTATATATTTGTTCATTGTCTGTCTCCCTCACTAGACCACAGCTCCAAGAAGGCGGGACCTTTTCTATCATTTTTCACTGCTGTATCTTCAAGGTTTAGATCAGTGCCTGGCGTGTGCTGGGCATGTTCGTTGGGTGAGTGGAAGAATTGAGTGAAATCTCTCTCGCTGTGGATGACAGGGTAGGAGAGTGGACCCTAAGGAAAAATCAGAAACGTCCAACAACTCACTTTGTTGCATATGGAAATATGGAAAAATTCCATATTTTCTGGGTTACTCCTCCCTGGACCACACAGGGTGAATTTTTCTGGCCTTATCTTGGCCCAAAATTTCTCTCCCCCACCCCACTTTTTAGACCCATAATTTCTCGTCCCTCTGCCCCTCCCAGACAAGCTAAAGAGAGTTTCCAGGATTGGAATGCGTGGTGATTCCAAACCCTAAGCCTCTCCTGCCGGCTGCTCACACAGCCTCTCTCCCCTTAGTGATTCCCAGCAACAGAAGTGCCCTCATCGCCGGAGGAGCCGCTGGGGGACTGCTCAGCTTTCTCTTCCTGCTTGGGGCCCTGCTGTTTTTCCACTGGCACAGGACGAAATCAGGTTAGTGTCCTTCTCTTGCCTTTGCCAGGGTCCCTGCCCTGTTCTTGCGTCAGACACCCCAGCTTCGGTCAGCCTCAGTAACCACCAAGCCGCTCTGCAGGTCTTCTCCTTACAGCGCAGTTCCCCAAACAGACCAGTGTGTGAGGGCTGCTTAGACCTAGTTCACTAAGTCTCAAGTGGAAGGAAGGAAAAAGAGAGAATCTTTAATGAATAAAGTTTCAAACACGACCTTAACGGTTCTGGGGGGGCAGTTTCTTTGGTTCATACAGGTGGACCAACTAGATCATTCAGCCCGACCCAAATCTGTAAATGGATCTTCGAACTAAACTGAAAGGCTCTGGAGAAATGATTGTGAAGGCTTCCTGGGCCTTATTGGCTTGAACCTGCCCTGGCCTTGCTCTCCATCGGTCAGCCTCCCCTACCTTGGGAGAAGGTCTCTCCCAGGCACTGTCGACCATGTGCTTCCAAAGCCTTCTTGCTCAAGACCAGGTCAAACTAGTTTCAGATGACAGAAAACATGGTGTAACAGATAGGTACAGAGCTGGGCACCGTGGCGGACACCTGTAGTCCAAGTGACCCAGGAGGCTGAGGCAGGAGGATTACATATTCAAGGCCAGCCTCAGCAACTTAGCAAGGTCCTAGCACTTAGTGAAAACCTGTCCTAAAATAAAAAATAAAAAAGAGCTGGGGATGTAGCTCAGTGGTAAAGCCTCCTGGGGTTCAATCCCCAGTACAAAAAAAAAAAAAAAATAGGAATAGAGAGGCTTTCAGTTCTAGAAAATTACCCACACCCTGCAACTCTTTCTCTTACTTCATTTAATTCAATTGAGCCCTCCAGATCCTTGGGAGCACTTCCACATACCATGTATTGAGCTGGAGGTGGGGAACTTTGGACCTCTGATGAGTCTCCTTAATATGCTTGAGGCAGAGCCTGAGGTTCCTCTGGACATTAGCCACAGATGTTCCTTGAAGTCTACCCTCAGCCACTTCTCTACGAGGGTGATGATTTGGTGACATTTAATATTTCTTGAGTTACAGTAACACAGCCTTGAACCCTAATAAAGTCTCATATAATGTAACCCAGGAATGTGTAGCACTGGCCCCAGCAAGTTCCATCCTTTGATGCTGTGTTCCCATCCTTTTTCAAAGTATATTGATGAGAATCAAGACTTGGCTGGTGTTTAAATGGTCCCCACTACACACCTCCCCCTCCCCC